CCGTATAAGTTTGAAATCCGTATCTTGCCGGTCTGTCGTGTATTTCATCTTCTTCTTCTTCCACTTTTTCATTACGACGATCGTAATACGTCATAGTTGTGACGTTTTTTAAATTTTTCGTATCGTTATCGTTATCGTAATAAATAATTTTTTTATCATTATTATCGATAATCGGCGACGTTTCGTATTTCGGATAACAAAAAACGATTTTAATGATAACGAATAAAAAAAAAACGATCAACTTTGAAGACGACATTTTTTTAAAACCGGAAATGACGTCAAAATTTTAACGGTAACAAATGAAAAAAAATTTTAAAATGCGTCGCCTTATATATATAAAATTCACGGATGCTTTAATAAATAAACAATTTTAAATTTCACTTTTTAAAAAAGAAAGAAAAAAAAATTTCCAGTCGGTTGTTCTCTTTTTTTTTTGTTTTTTATCAACATTCCGTGGAATTAGATAAAAAAAAAGTCGTTTAATTAACCGAAAATAATTTTCTTTTTGTTTTGTTGACGACACGCGATTTGATTATTGTTCGACAAACAAACACAATCGTTTATTTTTTTTTTCTTTTCGAACCGTTAAAAATAATAATAATGATATTTTTGAAATGTTAAATGTTAGGATTTGAAAATGGGGAGAAATGACGTCACCTGAAAATTTCAAAAGGAGGAAGATATGGATAGGATGTGGTTTATGGAGAAATGAAAACGGAAATGATGTACGATCAACGGGATTAGCGACCCTGGACATCTCTCTCTCTCTCTCTGGAAACTCGCAGACTCTCCGGAAGAGTCAAGAACGATGGTAACAGATCAGGATTGTCTCTGGAAGGGTAAAAAAGGGGAAGTACCGGGGTCATCCTCAGGTGGGATTCCCCCGTTCGCGAATGTGGACCTGATGGTTTTGGCTAAGGAGGCGGAGTTGAGGCTCCTCCTTCCGGAAAGAACCCGAAGTTTTAAATGCGTAATGGTTTCCGCCGAGTTCCCCTCCACTCTTCCTGCTATCGGGTGAGAAGGTTAGTGCAAAATGCTTCATTCTTCTGGATTAACAAAAAAAAAAAAGGGATCTCTACAGGAATTATTCGATGACGTAACCATTCGGATATGTATCTAGAAAAAACTCCGATCGAACTAATTTTTTTCATCACTAAACGTGGCAGCAGTGATAAGGAACAATTTCCAACGGGTAAATTTGTATGCACGCAGGCACGCGCAATCCTAATAATAATAATAATAATAAAGCGAAATTTTTCTGGAATAATACTAAATAATAATAATAATAATAATAAAACGAAAGTAAAATTTTCGAAAGTTTTCCTTCGCGCCATTTTCTTTTTTTTTTTTTTACTTTTTCTCCAGAAACAAAAAAATGATTACTCACTCCATAATGCGTAACAATAACAATTCCGATTTTCGTTTATTTATTACGTAATTCAAAAACAAACCGCTATTATTATTATTATCATTATTATTATTATCATAATTATTACTATCATTATTATTATTATTATTATTTAGCAAACGACGCTCATGTCGGTTTTTCTTTCAAATCATCATCATAATCATCATTACTTTTTTACGTTTTGTCGTTTTAATAATAATAATAATAATAATTATTATTATTATCGTGTATAAAATTTTAAATAACGATCATAATAGAACATCGATAATAATAATAATAATTTAACGGTTCGTTTAACCGAATCGATTTTATCACAACGTAAAAAATGGAGAAAGTCAAACATTTTTTTTTCCGAAACGATTTTTTAACGGACGCCATTTTTTTTTTTATTGTCTTTTGAAATATAACAATACATAATTTAATAAATGGATAAATAAATAAACAAACGGTTTCAAATTTTATTTTATTGATTTTTTATCGATCGAAAGTTCGTTTGTGATCCCGATTGAGAGAGACATGACGTGACTCGTACGCGTTCGATACATCGTCCGATCGATATCTCGATTCAAGTGCGCGTGTGAAAATTAAAATTACTTATTATTATTATTATCATTTATTTATATTTTGTACAAAAATGAAAAATTTCATTTTTTACAATTTATTATTACAAGGATTATTCGTCGTGGAATTAATTTCGTGTCAATTGATCGACATTGATGCCACGTTGAATCCCGAGGATTTGAACGAAGATCAAATATTTGCTAGCAGAAAGAA